GGGTTAAAAAAATAAATAAAACCTTTTTATCATCTATTATTTACAAACTTGAAATTTAACAAATATGGGTTTTTTTTGTTCAGCTGAAATATGCAAAAAGCTTTTTTTTTTATTTAATTTGCAATTCACTGAAAATTAACTCATCAAAAACTTCTTTATTTTTTAATCTGTATTGTTTAATTTTTTAATTCACCCGTGCAAAGAAGGGGGATACAAGCTAGTATTCTTCTATTTTTAAAACATTTAATTAAAGATTTAACAAATATAAATTTATGCGGGGATTGACGTAATAAATTATATATATAATGTAATCTCTCGTAAAAGTAATCTAATTAATGAAAATAAATTATTCTTGACCTCACTAACAATGTATTTTAAGTTACTTATGTATTCGCACAAGAATCTTTCCTCCACGCTCCAGTATCTCCCATTCTATTCCAAGCACTCGCGAAGATTTCATCCGAGATGAAAAGAAGCAACAAAGCCCACCGAATTTTCAATGTATCCCTCATTTCCTGACATAGCTTTGGAATGCGAGATTGGAATAGCAGTAGGGATGATGGTGTTCTCGGCGCGTGCCATTGCCTCCAGATCACAGGAATGTTCCCCAAAATAATGCTGCCAGACGAGAATTCCTCAGCTATTGAAATCTTCCCCTTTTCCATTTCACAATTCATTTTTATTCGCTTCTCGCAGCAAATGAATAGAACAGCTCACTATGAGCTTCGCATTCACACTGGAACAGTCAACGTTAGTGCGACGCTAGTCAAAGCTCTTTTCTATTTACACTTTCCAGATTTTATTAAAGTGTTAGAATTTGTTTTTTTAAAAAAATCATACTTACATATTTTAAACTGTTTGATCGATTTATTTATTTAAATAATTTTTTAGTATTCCTTGGAAGAACTCATACATTTACCTAACGCATTAGTCACAAACACTTTCAAAAATCCCCCTTCTATTTGCTTACATTTTTGATGGAGAAACGATTTAAAAACTTTATCTTTGGTATAAATCTTTAAAAAAATTTTTTAATTAAATTCATTTTTCAAATAAAATATTTTGAAAAATGCTTAACCGTTAAATGCATGAATATTTATTTTTAATAAATAAAATTGAAATCAGCCAGGAAGTCGATGCAATTAATGGGGAAAATACAAAAACCGAAAAAATAAAAATTACAGTTTAAAAAAACTAAAAAAGCACACACTTTTATAGTTAATCGAACTAAATTGTAACTTAATCTTTTAGTCGCCAAATCTGGAATTAGTTGCCAGATGCGGGATGGGATCTGAAAATGGGAAATCATTTGTCCCGATGATCCTGATCAGGACAATGGAACAAAATTATTAAATTATTGTATTGTCATCGGTCCTGGACAAGTGAGCAGAATTTCAAATTAATCTGATCTTTTAAAGTGGGTAAAATTGAGTTCAAAGATTCCGTTACATACAAGTGAAGCTTATAAAGGGTCTTAATAAAAAGACCACATATAAGAATTTTTTCAAATTGATGCATTTTTACATTACAAGAAAAAAAAGCTACATTTTTCTTGCATAAACTTACCAATTTTTGTAAAAATATAAATGTTATCCATTACTCTATCCGAATTCTCCTTTCCATCCGAAAACAATTTTTTATGTACGTGTTCTAATTACTTTTTATATAAATATATGTAATTCGTAACATCCAGCGAAATGAAATCATACTCAAATAGAGCGCCAACAATGAAAGTTGTCCCAGATAAAAAGTAAATTGTCAAAGATTTTTATTGCGTTCGGAAACGAAAAAATAATTTTGATAAAATTAAAATAAAAAAATACTATGCAAAAAAAAAAAAAAAGGTTACTATACATAAAGAGATTTGAGGTTTTAAACATACAATGCATATATACATCGCTATGCATTTAAGCGTAAGATTTTCAGTCACACTTGTCTTTATAATTTCTATACCTAAAATTGAAGTACAGCATATTTTGACAATTCTTAAAAAGTTCCTGAATTTTTATCTATGATACAAAAAGCTATTCCTAAGAGCAACAACTTTAATTGAAACATAATTACGTCAGAGAAAAAGAAAACCGGAATGATACAAAAAATATACAGTGGTATAACAGATTTTGTTACAATGATCTTATATTACTGTGTAGATGATTGTGATAACAGCCATTTATTAATTTGTGAGAATAACTCTAAAAGATTTGTAAAAATAATTTTTCTGGCGGTCATAATTAAGTTTCATCTTTTCAACTAAGCTAATTTTTCACTACATTCACAAACGATTAATAAAAGAGAATAAAAAATTTTTTACAAAAACTTACTCCCTGTACGTATAACAAAGAAATTAAAATTTATATATAACAGAGAGTGTAGTAAACGCAGAAAATAATTAGTTGAGGGGAAGGTATTTTATTTATTTATTTCGCCTTGTTTGGGTGGAATAAATTTCTTCAACACATGAAAGAAAAAAAGAAAGTGTCAAAGAACCGGTAATTCAACTTCGTAATTAAGCTTGCAAGGAAGAATTTTATATCAATATGTTGCTCCACGTTGACGTCTTTGTAATTACGAAAATAACCTAATACAAAAAGGCACGCATAAAAATGAAATAGATTATTCTATGAGTGTGCTTGGACATGTACATATATTACACTCCCTATCATTTTAACTCTCTCCTCCCGAAAAAAAAAAGGAGGGGGGGTGAAAATATTGCTTTAAAAAATTGACAATTTCCTTCCGGACATTATTAAAAAGCTTTTTTACAAGACAGAAAAAAGAGAAAAAAATCATCAATTTAGGGACAAAAAAATAGATGCCAAAAACGTACCAATCCCAAATATCATTTTTTTCTCTTTATTTTTTATGTAAAATTATATTTATATATAATTTATTTCTATTTTCAATGTATTTTTTTTTTTGTAAGTTTCTATAAATTTCCTTCTCGGAAATAAGTATGGAAATTTCAATAGCTGATAGAAAATAAAAATAAGATTTTTTGTACTGCGGTAATTTATTATATATCTGTACATATTTGGAACTACATATCGACAGAATTTTTGTAAACCTAAGGTATCCGAATATGTTCAGAGCCCTTTTATAAAAATAGCATAGCATATAAATACTTTTAAGGGGTCAGTATCAATAAACATTAATGCTTAATCCACAATACTTTAAATATATTATCTATAAATTTTTACGAAAATCACAATTACAAGTGAAATTTTAACAATTTTTAAAATTTCGTGAAAAGAGGGAAGCACTTAGAGGGAAAAGTAATAAACTTTTGTCAATAAAAGTAATACTAATATAAACTGCATACATTTATCTAGGGAATGTATTGTCATTTTAGTGCTTTATTAAAGTCCATAGAATAAATACTATAAGAAATGTGACCTATTTTTGAGGCCATAATTGAAATAACAGGCCATAATTCAAAAAATATTCGTACAGCAAGAATTATTTTAGTGCATTCTCTAAGAAATAATGTAAATATCAGGTTTAAAATATTTCATAGAAATGTATTTACAATATTTATGAACAGATTCGCCATGATAGGTTTAGAACAATTTGAATGCCCACTTATGGTAAATTAAAGACGCACTTCCAGTTTCTCTAATTTTATTTAATTTTTTGTAATAAATAATGAAGGTAATGAAGAAACGATATATGTTTTGTATAGCTAAAATATTGCTGTATTCAATAAAATTTAAAAAAATAAATTAATTGTGTTTTGATCGAAATTGGGGTAATTTCAACGCATTCGGTTACCTTAACTGTGAATTGGCGCATTTTTAAGGAAGATTCAATGTACTGAACTAAATATATATTTTAAATAGACATTATTAATCGAGATAATCACAAAAATTTAGAAAAACTACAAACTTGTTAATTTTACGGCAAAATAGATTGAAATTCAGCCAACATTGAGTTGTTTCATTAACCATTAAAATGTGAATACTATTTCAATTATACAATCTGCTTTCTCTTTAAAATTTATTTTATCAATATAATCATTTTCTTAACAATTTCATTGGTTACCTTTAAAATATTATACTTCTATTGTCTTAAAACCTTTCACTTTAACCACTTATTTCAATTGATACACAATTCTTTTTATATATATCTTTCAATTATTGTAATGTATTACCATAACTACTGCTTCGAATATAAAATAAATTATTATTCTTTGTGCAAAAATATTTACATCAAAAATTATTTCCTACAAACTGCTCGTGAGATTTTGGTGAAAATACAAATATGCAATGCCTCTAAAAGAATTCGTTCGAATTCGGTAGAAAATTTTGAAAACGTTCCAAATGTGAAGGGCTTTAGAAATGAATTCAAATCAGAAATGTAATTTCAATCGAAATGCAGGGTCCTTGAAGAGTCCAAGAGTTATTAAAAATAAATAAACAAATAGAATGATTCCTCTTTTGATATTCATACGTAAGTACAATCGACATCAATCAATGTCTGTCCTGAGTGCAATCTTTCTCCTAATTTGCATTGTTTTGTTATGGAAATATAACGAAAATCGAAATTTAATGTTTTTCAAACGTATACGCGATGAACGTGAACGGGTTGGAGGAAGAAGAAATGATGGTTGGATAAACAGAGGGGCGGTATAAAATCTTTCGGGATTCGAAAAACCATAGGATTTAAATAATACATTTCTCCTTCCATTCCTACCATTATATGCTTTGAATTTATCCAATTTATAAACTTATTAATAATATTCCTAACATTTTTCAATTCCTACTAAAAGTTCACACCCTCTCTCTATATATTTATTTATACATATATCTTGTTCAAATTTTCAATCGTTAATAAAATACTTTTTTTCATCCACTCAAGTTCAAATACATTTTTTTAAACTTGTAATGGATGACACAATACAGTTTTCCAAATATTTTAATTCATTAATTAAATTTAATTAATGAATAAATAATAACAAAAATAATAGTCCAACATCATATATAAAAAGGACAAATGCTCGTTGTGTCCCTGTAGCGCAGTGGATAGTGCATTGGACCTCTAATCCAAAGTTCGTGGGTACGAATTCCACCTGGGATGGCCTAATTTATGAGAATGTGATTTCTTTTTACTATGTTATTTTATTGGAATAATTAAATTTAGTTAATGATTAAATAGTAACAAAGTATAAAATAATATTCAAACACCCTATATATAAAAAGGAAAATGGAAAAATGCAAGGAAAATCCTTTTCTATTTTGCCACTTAATATTGTGATTCTGTCATATGTATATACATATTTATATTAATTGTAATTATTTAATAAAAGTAACTATAAAATAAAACTTTTCTTTGTTGACCTAAGTAGGAATTGACTTAATTTTTTTTTATATTTATATATATTACTTGTTATACTGGGAAAGGTGTAAATGCAATAAATCCTTTTAAAGTAAACAAATATTTCATTAAATCAGATTATTAGAGCCTTTCCCCCTGCAATTTATTTTTATTGTGTTAATCCATGTTTTTTTTTTTTTTTTTCTTTTTTTTTTTTTCATTTCACTTTCTTACCAGAAAATTTTCCTAATAAACAGTAATTATTTCATAAGGTTTTTTTTAATCACAATGAATGGATTTTATGTATCCTTAACTTCGTGTTATAATTTTAATATCGTCATTTAACTCACAAGGCTTTTATTTCACATCAAAGAATTAATTTGTTTTATCCGCTCGCGATTCCTTGCTATTACTACAAAATATATAAGAACTTGAAGATGAATTCGCAGTTAAGGGGACACATGGCACAATTAATAAGAAAATCTGAGATTTAATGGTTGTTACAATTTATTATTATTTTTTTTACTTGTAACCTATATACATAACTGTTTTTGTGCTCAAAATGCTATGGGAAGTTAATCATTTAATTTTTTGAAGAAAAATTAAAAAATTTTTGAGAGAGAAGGGATTTTAAAATGTTACTCCTTCTACAATAGTTAACGTACACACGTGTAATTTTATTTACAAGCATGCCAAACTATCAGTGGTGCACACAAGGGAGGGGGTTTGTCCTAGGTGTCCGGACACTCCCCCCATAGCCCTTGATTTTTTTTTCGATTGGTTATAATTTTATGTATATTCCGTAAAATTTAATTATGCTATTATTATTAATAATTAATTTTATTAATTAATGCTAATTATTTATTCAATAATTAATTTTGTAATGTTTTTGTTCCCGAAAATCAACAAAATCAAAAGAATATGTTGGACGGCGTATTGGAGCATGATACTAAAATGGTGGACTTTCAACCCTGCCCCCCTGCCCTTGAAAAATTTTTGTGTACGCTATCGCAAACTATGTATAACAAATTTAGTATAGGTTTTATGCTAACATATAGATATTCTTAAAATACTTACTTTTATGAATGCTTATTGAAAAATTTCCTTAAAAAATGAATACTTTCTAAATTCAATAATTTTTTTTTTTTAAGTATTTTTTTGATTAAAAAATGTTTACCAATTTTTATTATATGTACAAAGAGAAAAACGTACAAAAAATATCAAAGCATTTGGCACAATAGTAAAAAAGCCTTAGCATTTTAAAGGAAGGTAAACGAGTTATTTTTTCTTTCTGAGATAAATCAATTTCTGGTTTTTATTTGCCATTGGAATGTGAATAAAAATAAAAATAAAAGTTATAATTCTAATTTTTTTTAAAAAAAAATTTCCAGCTTTCAAATTTTATGAGCTTATAGTAAATTATATAAAGAGTAATATTTAGGCTAAAAAAAAATAAAAAAAAATTGAATTTTTGGCCGATTCTTGTCAACTGAATCGTATTGCGTTCCTTTAATTGTATAAATGGACGACATGTAGATTTATAAAACTGAGAGATTAAATAACAATAAACAAATAATAAATAACAATAATAGCTATACAAAAGTTCCTACATGAAATCAGATTGACGAATATATAACATTTGTAATCAATACATTTTTTTCCTTCATTTCTTTCCTTTATCATATATAATTTTTGTAAAAATATAACATTTGTTTTATTTATTTCATTATCGATAACCTATTACGACTTGATATACTGAAAAAATATTTTAATTATGTCCAGTGAGTATGCTCAAAAATTAAATTATTCGTCTTGACAAATTTTTGAAAATAAGAAAAAAAAAGTGAAGATTATAATGAAAACTAGCAGAATAATAATTAGTGATTATTTAAAATCATTATTCAAATGCTTAGAACGTTATTAAGAAATAATAATACATACATTTAATTAGGAATTTTATCACGTATGACAATTTTTTGTTGTTTGGTATTGAAGTTCATATTGACTTTCCTCATTTTTTTCAACAACAACAAAAAACCTGTAATCTATGTATATGAATATTTATGATTAAGTCATCTTTTTCAAAGTCATATCTCTAAGTCATTTTTTACAAAGTCATATGATTAAGTCATATCATACAAACCATTTCTTTTTATTACCTGGAAAAATTATATCAAGCAATTGAATAAAATTGTTAAATAAAATTAATTAATAAAATTTCTTATTCATTATGGGGAAAATAAATGCTATAATATAAAATATGATGTACATTTTGAATGAACTTTACGTTAAGCCAACACGCTTAGCTCTCGCATTGGTCGATTTTTAAATTTTGAACCGGGGTCAAGTGATATAAGAGGATTCTAGCGCTGGAGTTTCACTCTCCAAATTTACACACCACCCCAAGAGAGGTTCAGTGTCATTTTAAGTGCAGTATTCTCTTTTATTTCATATAATTAGTCTTTAATAGGAAACGGTCTCGAATATGTTGTTTGACTTGAATTTTACTGACCATGACCGTTAGACTATCATGGTCTTGCAAAACATAGCACTACCCTTCAAAATTTAACTTTTATTTAGAGTTAACTTCAACTATATATTTAAAATAAAAATTTGTTGAGTTGATCAAAAGCTATTATTTTCTCTTTACCATGCAGGGACTTTTTGTAATTCGAGAAAATTATTTGTAGAAGAGATATGAGTTAAAATTATTTACACATAGTCTCAAAACACAAAAATACCTTTAATCGCATGAAACACTTAAATGAAATGTAGTTGTATCATTTTTAATGTAGTCCCGGAGTTATTGGGCAATTCTGTTGATTTATCCTTCTATGAAAAGTGGAATTGTGTACTCTCAATTTAAAATCTTTTTTTAAGATTTCACATTTAGTAATTGATGTTAATAATTAATATTTGTACAATTTTTTTATGTCTATATATTTTAAAGTTATTGAACTAAATAATTAGACTTATAATCGTAAATCCCTTACACATCCATGATAATTTTATATGTGATAGAAAAATGGATAGCATTTTTGCATTTATCGCGTCTGATTCTCTAAAAATCATTACATATTTTGCAATTCTCCCATTCTATTCATCCTTTTTTCTCAATAATTGATAATTTTATTTCAAGGATTTTTTTAAAAATTCGCTTTTCACATCTGGTTCATACACAGTGTCATATGTAAGTGCTTAAATTATTTTTAAAAACGAAAGATTTGCGCACAAGTCCAATTTAAATTTTACAGCTTGCATATATATATATATATATATATATAATTAATAATCAACACTAAATTACCATAGATGTAATAAAGCAAAACAATAAGAAAAAGTATAACAAGAAAGTTTAGGTAAATAATAAGATATAGCCTCAGGGATTTAACAGCAAACTAAGATTGTAGGGGAAAATATAGTTTTAAGGTCAGCCGACCTTCCTAGAGGAAGGTGGTTGGCCTTAACACTGTGGTGTATGGCATAGGCAAATATAGGTATTTTTCTGTACTCAAGGAGAAGAAAGTTGTATGAAAATAATATTCTATAAGTACTTAAGACTATGAACATAAGACTAGAAAAATAATACTAAAAATTTAATAACTTAGTTACCAATGCCAAATGTCAAATAAAAAAAAATTAATTTACAATTTAAAAGAGGCAAGAAAATTAAATATCTAAATAATATATATATGAGTGTGTATCAGTGGCGAACACAAAGGAGGGGTCCTGGGGGTCCGGCCCCCCTCAAAGGCCTTGATTTTTTTCCGATTGATTATAATTCTAAGTATATAGTACGTAAAATTTAATTAAGTATTTGTTATTAATGATTAATTTTATTAATTAATGCTAATTATTTATTCAATAATTAGTTTTTTACTGTGTTTTGTTCCCGAAAATCGACAAAATCCAAAGGAGCATGATACAAGAATGGTGAACTTTCGACCCCGGACCCCCCTCTCCCCTGAAAAATTTCTGTGTGCGCTACTGGTGTATATATATATATATATTTATATATATATATATGTAAATATTTTTAATGATATTTTTAATATATTTGTTACAATTATGGTTAAAACAATTGAATTCAATTGCTTTTTTAACCATTTTTTTTAGCTCATTAGGTTTGCTGTGAATTTTGTAAGATGAATATTTGAATAGAAAACATTCACATTTTTTTTATTAACTAGTGCATCCATTTTAGAAATAATTTTTAAAAAAAACCCCTATCGACAGTCGTGATTCATATAATATCACAGGTATGCTTCTAAATTATCTGTACTCTGAATATTTTCTCCCGAAAGTCAATTTAAAATTTTCAACGGACATGAAAAAATAAAAAATCGATTCGCTCCTCGAATCTTTTATTTTCTTCATCCATTGTGATCTTCTGCACTCGCATTGTGATTCCAAATCCTGGTCGTTGTTGAAGCTGAGGGGGACATCATCAGTTTTCTTTGAGAGCCATTACTTAACTGTCACGTGTTTTCCGTAGCTATTACCAAGAGAGAAAAACATGGTCATTTGAAATGGGGCACCAGTGCTGATATCCGATAGTCTGATTCAACTATTGATATTGTAATTTAGAGAAGGTCGATGCTCTAGGGAACTATTAGATCTCTTCCTCGCAAAACGATTTCCCCTTTCTTCATCGTGGGAGTCCTGAAGAAAATGCTCACTCCATAGAAAAGAAATAGATCACTTCTTGATCACTAGCTTCGTTTCGATTTTCTTTTCCCATTACTTCGCGGACATTTTCTATC